AAGTAAATTATATGAAATATTTGAAGAAATGTACAAACATCCAAATGATGGTGGAACATACTCCAATATCATAATAGGTGACTTCAGTATAAAGGTCAGTAGAATGAGCAGAGATGAAAGGATGATTGGCAAATCTGGCATCAGCGTGAGGAATCAAAGAGGATAACATTTATTAAAGAGTCTGTAGACATGAAGATCATGCACACGTGGAAACGTCCAAATATAGAAATTATAAAGTTGATATGGGCAAGCCCATATTATAAATTGACTCAATAATAATGGACAAACCTCAGACTTCATCATTAGACCTCCTTTGCCAGTACCAAAATGTAATAATAGGGTTTTTCCCATTTTTTTTGGCAACAAAACTGTATAAACCTCATAAATCTGTAAAAGATTCTCATGAGGGTGTATATAGATATTTTATTTACACAATCTATCATGTCGTGAATCTATATCGTCTAAAGTAGTATGAATTAATAGAAATTTAGAGAATAGGTTTTCCCCTTTTTTTCTGGCAACAAACAGGTGTTAAGATGTTAAAACACCAAACTGAAACCTTTTACAAGGAACCATGTCTGCATTAACCACAATACTTGTGGTCAGAATGCAAAAACAAACATACTCTGATAATATATGCATTGATTGCTCCACACCAGAGACAGCTTTCTTTTGAGCCTCGTCTCAAAACGGTGTTAGACCAGAGGACGCCAAAAGGCGTACAGCCCAAAGACAATGCACTATCAGAGTAATGAGAGCTCGGGGTGAGCATCTACATCATGGGACCTCCTTTGTTTTTTGTTTGCATTCTCACCACAAGTATTGTGGTTAATGCAGACATGAATTCCTTGTAAAAGGTTTCAGTTTGCTGTTGTAACATCTTAACACCTGTTTTGTTGCCAGAAAAAAGGGGAAAACCTATTCTCATATTCTGGTACTGGCAAAGGAGGTCCTATGAAGAAATTTAGAGGTTTACAACTACAGCTTAAATCCACATTGTATGGCCAGGGCCAGTCTACCCACAGGACCATCTCTGCCAGAAATGTATAATTATAATGATGCTCCAGTTAGTCTTCATACTGCTCCTGTGTGTATGCGAATGTGTGTATGTATTATGGGAAGTGGTAGCAAAAAGGTTCGTGCACTGCATTATGAACACAGCAACTTGAGTATGATTTCCGGCCATGGCCAACATCAATTACAAGGGATATCAGAACCTGTCGTTGGCTGAGTACTTAACATCGGCACTGGGTATATAACGGTGGCTGGTTGTGGCGCCAGCCACACTAACCCCTCATGCCCTAAATGGGTGCTTACTAAAATAACTTAAATGTATAAAGGAAAGTTTGTCTTTATATATTTTTTGTATGTGCAGAATACTCATTGTGTTTAGACAATATGTCTGTGTGTGGATATGTATTTGTATATGTAATCTCAGTCAACCCATAACATCTGAGTCTGTCTTGTGACCAGCTTCCAGCGAACTTCGACAGTTTACATGGCACAAGCACTGTGGGTGATGTCACCGCCACTTAGTGTATTTACCCGACAGCCACTCACTTCCCACCAGGGTGAGGGTAGCACAATTGTTATGGAGTTTTCCCACCATACAGTTGACGTGATGCCCAGTTGCAGGAATGACTGCTGATGAATTGTAACGAATAGCATCAGGACAAAATAGGCTACACATTCACCATGTATGGACATAAATATTAGTATTCAGAGGGATTGAATTCCGCGATCTAACCCAAAAACCTTTATTAGGAAGGAAAAAGTTGATAAAATCAGCATAATCAGATCAGGTTCTTGATCGGACAATGCACCATTATTACATGCCAATTATTAATATTTTTTTAGTTTGCTTGTTTATCCCATAAATCCGCACTGAGTCTGATGACTCTTTCAGGAGGGACCTACCAAGTTTATCCAGAAGGGATGATGCTGCTATGTATAAACCCAAATGAGTAATTTTAATGAAACTTTTCAGCATTTGGATGTTTTAGCTAATACATGTTACATTGTACTTTTATTTTTAGTTATCAAAAGAAACGGAAAACCCAACGAAACCTATGAAAATCAGGGGGAGAACATACAAATTCCACACAGAAGGTTGTCCGGGTTCGAAATCAAACCCAGAACCTTTTTGCTGTGTGGCACAAGTGTCATCACTGTGTAACCTTGCCGCTTGTATGTATATGCTACTTAATAAAACAAATCAAGAAATTAGCATTTGCATGATAAATTACAAATTTTATTTTTTTCTATATTATTAATTTCAGTGCCAAAAAAACGAATTTCACTGGGATTTAGATTATAATGTAAATAGTAGTCTGCACATAGTTTTTTTTTTATGAATATGGCTTGGAATGTTGCGAAACAAATTTCAGAAGATTAGAGCTGAATTGTAAATGCATACAGGGCCAAGGTGACTGAGCTCTTTAAGGAACCATTTCACATTGTCGACAAGAGTAATGTGTTTTTGCCAGACACTAAATTTCCCAAAGGAGAATAATGGTTAATTTCACTGTCGTTATGAATGAAAATCTGATGTACAGTGAAATCAACTATTCAATCTAGAAAGTTGATAAGTTGGACATATCATTTTAATTCAAGAAAACTCCTCATATCGGCGGTGATATGGGGGTCCAATTTTGCAGATTCTATCATCTGTGGGATTATCCGCGATTTTAGTACTCTCATCTGCTGGGTAAATATTGTGGATAACCTGCAGGTAATAGAATAGATTTGGCACGCGTCTCCTCTAATCGGCAAAATATTGTGGTTAATAGGACTCTTTAAAATGCAGCAGGGGTCTTTTAAGCACGTTTTGCATTCAGGAAACGTGCATTTCTCTATCTCTGCTTGAGCAAAAAAGACGGAGACATAAAGACACACGCAGAGACACACACATGGAGACAAACAGAAACGCAGAGACAGAAAGACATGGAAACACTGACCCTTTACTGTAAGTGGGATTTGGCAGGACACGTCACTAGAATGGATGATGGACTCAAGAATAATAACGGAGTGACATCAAATAATGGAATGCAACCGAGAGGATATCTACTGAGAAGATGGAGCAATAAAATCAGTTCATGTGCAGATTATGGATGGATCGTTGAATCACAGGATCGGGAGAGCTAATTACAGCTTTGGAAGGCCTTCATCCAGCAGTGGATTCACCATGGATGTCAAGACTTATGTGCTACAACAACCCTGGCACCCCGGGTTCGATTCTCACTCACAGCTAATATCAGTAGTGATTATCTGAACCATTGCTGGACCTCCCCCAGGTAAATCGGCATTAAATAAGCACATGGTGCGGTGTGTAAACAACAGCACAGGGGAGGCAAAGGTGGCCGTGATGTAGGCCACAAAACCCTATTGTTGCTCCCCTTTCGGGGTCTTAATAGGTGTACACTAATAGTCCTAGTAGCCTGTGCAGTATACATGGGGAGTCTTTGCCTCTGTGAGTGTGTCTGGGTTTATCCTGTTGGGGATGTGATGTTGATAAGGATGATGATGATGATGTAGAGGATGGTGAGGAAGTTAGAGGGGTGATCCGGAGTTTGAGACCAGGATAAGCGGCAGGCAGAGATGATCTCCTAAGTGAACTGCTGAGAGAGGGTAGCATCTGTGTGCAGACTGCCCTATGTGACATTTTTACATCTGTCTAGACCACAGTATGGGTTCTGCATTATTCCAAGGATGCCCTGGTGGTCCCCCTATTTAAGAAGGGGAACCGTACTGATTGTAACAACTACCAGGGCATTTCCCTCGTCAGTGTGTGGGGAAAGGTTCTGGGCAAGCATTATTCAACATCGCCTTGCTAGGCACGTTGATGAGAGGCTTGCGAAGCCCCGATGTGTTTCAGGTCGAGGTGGTCCTACATGGATGACATATTATCTATCCATCTGCTACACCAAAGGTGCACGGAATTTCAATGGGATGTCATCAGTGGGCCAGGGATCTTGGTTGTTCTTCGTGTTTTCAGGGTCCCTGACTCTCTGCTCACAATTATTAAGGACCTTCATGATGGTGGGCAGGCCCAGGTAAAGCTGTACGGGCAGGAGTCAGAGCCATTCCCTGTTCACCTTGGGGTGTAACAGGGTTGTCCTCTGGCTCACAAATCACTTAACATCTATTTCAACCACATTGTTTGAGAGGCTTTCCATGGCTATACAAGATGCATATCCATCTGGTACAGATGCAATGGGAGGCTGATCGATGCCCAGGTGTTGGTCAAGGGACGGCTCCCTATTGGTCAACCATGTTATGTATGCTAATGATCTGGTGATTGCTGCTCACTCTAAAAAGGAGTTAGGGCCTCTGCTCCTGCACCTGGAGCGTGTCAGTAAGAAGTGGGGCTTACCATTAGCCCCATTAAAACTAAACACCTGCCTGGGTATGTTGTGTCATCAGACACTCCACCTCCTCAACTCCCCATGAGTGATCGGGCAGTTGTGAAAAGAGTGGAGAAATTTTCGTACCTGGGTAGTGCGCTTATGACCAGCTCCAGTTTGGCAGCAGAGGTCTCACTATGAATCAGTTTAACAGCATTTTATTTTCATCAGCTGTGTAACGCTATGTGGAAGCTACCTGGGCTATCATTCCACACAAAGCTCCGGGTCTTCTTGGCCACAGTTATGCCCTCCGTTCTCTGGCTTTGCATAACACAGACCCTTCTGAAGGAACATCTGCGCCAGTTTGAAAAATTGAGGCTGGCCTGCCAACGATCTATCCTGGGTTTAATCAGGCTGGATTGTGTGAGCTCACAAGTCCTTGAAAGATCTGGACACATTCCCATTAGTGAGCTTCTCCAGCAGGCAAGATTGCGTTGGCTGGGTCACGTAGCCAGCATACCCAGCCACCGAATGCCCAAGCAGGTTCTGTTTGGCTGGATAGAGGGGGCTAAATGGGTGCAGCACAGGCTAGAGAAGAGATTGACTCAAATGGTAAAGGAGGATGTGGAGTTGATTGGACTTGTCAATGACTGGTACCTGCGGTGGCAAGATCAGCCTCTTGGGAGGAGGCTTGTGAAGGATGCTACTGGGCAGGTGGAGACAGTTGCCCTCCAACACCAGAGAAGGGCAGAGGAGCAATGCTCACAGCAAGAAGTGGAGCGCCGGGCAGCTAAAACACAGCAAGCTGGCACAGTAGAAAGCACAATTGGTGCATCTACCAGTCATCTCAGTCAGTCAACCGAAAGCAACTGGGTGTCCCATTTCCTCCTGCCAGCGAACCTTCGACACTTCACATCGCCTATACACCACTTAGTCCCGAATGGTGGTTGTTATTGTTGTCTCCATGTCTGTTTGTGTCTCTCTGTGTTTTCTTGTCTGTCTCTGGGTCTATTTGTCTCCATGTCCATGTGTGCCTCCCTGTATCTGTAGTGTCTCCATGTCTGTGTGTATCTGTGTCTCTGTGTGTCTCCCTGTATGTGTAAAACATCGTAGATAACCCACAGATGACAAGATGTATTTGCCGTGAGACTCCTTTTATCTGCGAAAAATAGCCAAAAATGTGATTTTTCCACTAAGACTTATGGGAAAAGTAACCAATAATCACAGAAAATAGGAACCGTAGATAATAGGAACCATGGATAAGAGGCGTTATCCTGTATGAAATATCCTACATAGGCAACAACCCTGTCTTTAAGATATGGTTCGTAATTCGATGCAATTTTTTATAATGCAAAACACAATAAATATTTGAGTTGTGGCAGAGAATATAAGTAAAAAAATATAAGCAGACAATATATCTACTTCATATATCTGTCCCTCTGCATTAAAATGAATATATTTATAGGTCAAAACAGTCAATAAGTTCACAAGCTGATACCACTGCTCATAATCGCATCTGTCTATGTGCCTCATCCTGTAACTTGTATAGTCACCACGTGACCCCCCAAGGACAGCCTTTCATTACCATGTTGATCACTGACCACACTGCGCCACACCAATGCCTGTCTCAGCAACCTGCAACTTCTGCATCCTGCACATGTATCAATCACAACCTCCTCTGTCATAGGGCACCCGCTGTCAAAAAAATACACAACCTAGTTCTACTCAATTAACCAACCCACCATGGTCACTCATGAGTGATGATGATGCACACCGATCCACACACGTTACATATTTATATGCACACGAACGAGAATTGTTTTCCCCATGAAACGTTATTGCCTGTTCTTGGACTTGCCTGGGTTAACTCAGCGTTAAATTAGTCCCTGGTGTGTGTAAACATCAGCCATAGGAAGACAAAGGTGGCTGGAAGTGGTACTGGCCACACCACTCGATTGTGTGTCGTACCAGCTTTAATACGTTTTCACAATCAGCACGTGTCCTAGTCTATAAAGCTACCCTATCGTATACCCGTTTTTCCTATAACCAAAGGCTATAATCTATAAGGTTATTTTCGTGGATATGTAAATGCAAAGGATGCATTTGTGTATAATAATCATCATCTATCGTTATCATCATAATCATCGGTGCAGAAGAAGTTCATACGTACATTATAAATAGCAGCAGCAACAATAACAACAGCTGGCCACATTGGTTTGGTTGTAATCCAGCACTTTGGAAACAAGGGTTGGTGGATTACACAGAGTGACAACACTCTTACTAGATTGTGAGATTGTCAGGAAATTGGATCCATTAACCTGTCTGTGTAGACCTTTCAGTGTTATTGCTTTATATGCATGTGTTTTATACAGTTACTCAAAAGTCCTCCCACATGAAAACCATTTGCTAAAAAGGAGCTTCCAAACATCCCATTGCAGGACGATTGTGAAAAAACTTAAAGACTTAGTGAAGCTTTTCTGAAGAAAAATAAAGTCAGCATCTTCATCATAATCAGCTCTTAGAATTTGTTGGGGAAGTTTCTGGCACATTTTTGCAGAATGCAATGCCAGAGCCACACGTAAAAAGGTCACCACATCCAACCTACACTACCTTACCAAGGCTATGGCTGCAAGTGTAGAATTCTGTAATCCCAGCCCTGGAATTGTGAGATGTAAACTGTGGAAAATTGTTGAAAATCTGTAGCATTGCTCTAGCCCACCCAATTTAACCCGTTCCACTATGCAGATGTATTAATTGCATAATGTATAAAAGGGTATTGTAAAGCATTTTTTGTTTGGTTTCAGTTTTAGAACGTGTCATTGAGGCTAGTTTAATCTCACAATGCTTTGGAATTTGTAATTCATGGTAGCATGAGGAGCCACAGATGAGTGAGAAGGCAGCCAGGTGGTGAGACAGTGCCAATATTTGCCCAAGCTTTGCTGTCCTCTATATATGAAGATGTTTTCAGATAATTTATGAGGAAAGCAGAGCATCCAGAAAAAAAACATGTATGCCAGGAGGCAACACTCGATCCCATAGAGATGGAACAGATTTCTCCTGGCAATGGGAAGGGAATTTCATCTCACTGAGGCTTTCCTGGAAAAGTGTATAAATGCAATTGGAGGAAAGTTATCTATATTAATGTAGAATTCTGAAATGGGACACAATTTCTGGAATGGTATCCACCAAATTACAGTAAAAACGATATAAATTCATTTGGCCGACCTTAAGTATTACATTTTGACTCTTGATTTGAAGCTTTCGTGACTTCAGGAATTACTCTTTGGTTCTTTCGGTAAAGTCACATAGAAAGAAAATATAAAATAAATAATAGATCACAACGTTTCGATTACAACACAAGCAACCATCATCAGGTGAGAACTGTATGTAAATGCAAGTTCGGAGAGAGACACATACACAGAGAGAAACACAGAGAGAGAGACACACACAGAAGGTTGAAAGAGAGGATAGAGGGAAATAGTGCTTCTATCTCAGGAGAGATTGAGAGCCATATACTGAGAGCAGGAAGCATGTTGTCCTTTTAATATAATCATTCCATGAGATGAGCTGTTTGTCTGCTACATTATAAGGCGATACAAGGAAGAAAGCCAAATAATTGTCCATAGTGAACACAGTTTCTTTAATACTGTACTGAAAACTCCGTGCCATATAAGTCCTGTTGCTGCTCATGAGAAAACTGTATCTTTAGCACCAATTGCTGCCGCAGTCCAGCTGTTTCAAAACATTATGCATCAATCAATTCTTACTCATTTCAGACTATATATAAATTCTTAAAGTCAGCAACAAACATTCCTATCAATTTATAAGGAACATTTTGGAAAGTGTTACAAACCATCCATTCAACATCAACTTCATTCGTTTCCCATGTCTGCTTGTCCTGGTGAGGGTCGCTGCGGTGGCATGCTGAGTAGGGCGGTCCAGACCTCCCTTTCAATATGAACTTGATAGGGGACATTTTTTTAACCTACAGGATTTGGCTGGATGGTGCAGCAATAGAAAATACAATTTGCAATTGGAAGGTCGGGAATTTAAAATCCCATTGGGACCTGACTGCCCCCTTTAACCCCTCAAGGGTTAGCAAATTGAATACACTTTGTGGGGAAGTCAACAGCAATTATCCTATGGAACGACCATAGGAATGTGGTGTAAACTTCATTATGAGTGTCGCCCTGCACTGCATTAAGTGGAAAACCACTGACATTTTAATTGGAACTTAACTATCATTGAGTGCCTTATTTGGGGCAGTCATAGAGGACTGTTGTATGTTGAGTCAGAGTCAAGGTGTATCTGTTCAAACGAGCATTGACAGTGGTGCTCATCTCTGCTGACAGTCTTGAACCAGTGGTAGAAATTCCACTTTCATATCGCTGATGTCATTCTCTCTAGAGGATGACCACTGTTGACCTTCCATAAAGTGGTACTCATGTTAACTCCAGAGGGATGATGTGCTGAATTGACCCCGAATGACTCAGGTCTGTAAACAGGAGCACTGCCCCATGTTCAATTTAGTGGGAAACCATTTTGATTTAATTTATACCAACATGCCATTGGTTGGTGTATTCTTCATGAGATGTTAATGGTAAAAAAAATGCCAGAGAATGTGGATGTCAAAAATATAATAACAGATGCCTGTACATCTTACATCATTTTAAATTGGGGTTCTAGAGAAATAGTTTGCCAGGGGCAGCATCTCATACATCTTTGGTAATGCTATACTGTTCAATCTATACTTGCAACAATAACCTTTTTTCTTTTAATTACAATTACAAAATGTACTGGTTGTAATTGCACTATTATTTTATATATTTTTTCATAAAATGATATGAAGGTATTCCGTGACAATGACTTACATGGTTTTTCTTAGGCTAAATTTCAAGCAACTGTGATACCTAACCTCAACTGGATGACATTCTGTAGTGAGGGCTCAAGCAATATAGTTTTTTTTATATGTTTGTTATAAATGTACTATTTATTGTATGCTCATCCATTGTTAACGATTGAATATTTAACAATGACACATATACAATAACCATGCACATATGTTTGGGGAGAGGTGAGTTTCTATTATTGTGTGATATGGTCTATGTATTGTAGGAACCTACTTCGGTTAATATCATGATTTCATATTTACTAAGGGCTTCACAAAGGATAAAAACATAGTGTCTGTGCTTGTCATGCATCAAATATAATAACACAGGATTATCTTGTATCCACAATGTGGGACGTATTAATACTCTCCGTAACCATGTTACACCTAAATCTGTGCAAGAGACTTACGCACAGGGATGCACAGCAATATGTATTATGTTGAACTTCTTTCGCACAGTACGTAGCCAACCGTGCTAATTGGAGTTGCAGGGGAAGGACAACACACTAAACACAAAAAGCAGTTCTAAAGAAATGAGTTTTCAATCTAGATTGAAAAGTTAATAGTTCTTCAGCAGTTGTTTCTTGCCGTAGTTGTCCCACCTAATGACGATTGCTTGTGTTGCGATCGAAACGTCGTGATTTGTTTTATTTTATTTCTACCTATGTGACTTTACCGAAAGAACCAAAGAGTATGGATTCCTGCAGTCACGAAAGCTTCAAATCAAGATTAGTTCCAGTGCCTTTCTAATATCGGAAGGAAGAGCGTTCCAGACGGTTGCAGAATCGCAATGTATACTATGTATCACACATGTTACCATGCCATGGATGTGGAAAATTCACCATTGCTGCAATATACCAGTACAGTGTCTGATATGAAAGGTTATTTTGTATTCCTTACCTAACATTTTTATCCCTTGCCTATGGTGCATTCACCGAAACATGTGCATTATAAGATAAATTATACTGCACCTAAACAGCGACCAACCCAGTTTCAAAAACAGCCTGCTCAAACACATATCTTACATATGGAATATGAGAAGGAAGTAAACTCCCATACCAGAGAGCTGAGCACTGCCAGTACACCAACAGAACTATTGTAGACACTTAAAATGTCATTGGTTGCAATACATTTATGAAAATAAATCCTCTACCACAAGTGATTAGAATGTCTAGACTGGTGTATGCATCTTTAAGGATAATAGCTACCAGTCACGCACCTGGCTAAGTGACTTTGCAGATCGTTTCTTGAGGAATCATATGATGACTGACGACTCAGTGACTGTAGGCTCCCAATCTACAATGGCATAGATATTTTACCCCCAGAGTTAAAAAATATCAGAAATTGAACACCCGATTACGCACAGCCAGGATAATTTCCTCTGTAGCAAAGTATCTAAATCCTTAACATTTTGGCTGGCATTGCCTGATGTGATAATGGTAGTGTTGATAAGAAAATGATAATGGCCGGGTTGACAAGTTAGAAAATTCAAATAGGGCAGCTCAGGTGTTCGATGCTAAACTTTTGGAAATAGCCCTCATGCCGAAGAGAATTACAACAAACATTACATTACACCTGATCTCAAGCCATACAAAAATGCATTAAGCAGCCTCTGCCCCTCTTGCTTCTCTATAAGTGTATTTTAAAGGGCTCACGTGGAGTCCTACCTAAGAGGAAAAAAACTGCACTTGGGGATGAATGCCAAACATGATCTCGAATGGGAAGAAAGAGCTGTGTATAGAAAGGATTGTAATGCAAAATGTTAGCAATGCAAACTGCCTAAGATGCTGACACACATCTATAGTTTGATCATATTATACAACTTTATTATAACTGTAGAAAAACAATGCAAATATCTATAACTACCTCACGTAAAAAAGTCGCTCATAGCTCAAGCTAATATGCCACAGCCAATACGTTTGATACTACCAGATTTGCCTTTGCTTCTTTTTACCAAATCCAGAATGATCCACACTTGCTGTATGTTTCCCTCTTGTCACCAATATCAAGGTATCCAATTATAATTCCACCTTGGTAACCTGCCCTCCTCTTTATTATGCACTCCGATTCCCAAGGGACCGGTAACCCCTCCACTTGGCACTTTTTCTATCAAGCACCACAGTGGAGACACCCGACTCAGCTCGTGCTGGAGGCCCCAGGAGATAGGCGTTCATGATACCATCTGGCCAAACCCCCCCTTTTGGGCCTTCCTCCAGGAACAGGAGAATACTGCGATAGACCACGTGAAATGTTCAAACTCTCGTTGCAAAGCAGAGGCTGCCAATTCTCTGTCAGGAGACGGACTGGTTCCGCCTGGACCTCTGTGGAATACAAGAGATCCGTTAGACCGCTTCTGGCTCCAGTCACGATGAGGGGTGGATGGTTCTCCACTGAGTGCAGGAAACTGCTAAACAGCAGGGAGGGTCATTGCTGATAAACAAAAGAATGAACGGGGTATGGGAGCGTGGAGGTGAGGTGTGGGAAGCTGTGAAACCCAGGCTGCTTTGGGTTTGCCTCCCCATCAACAAGAGACGAGGAACGGTGGTGGTGGTTGCTTACACCTCCATTGAAGATGAACATCAGTGGAGGGATGCAGACAAGGCTGATGAGTCAGACGCCTTCTATAACCTCCTGTTCTAGGTACTAGCTAAAGTGGCCCCTCAGGATATAGTCATCCTGTTGCATTGACTGCATTAGATATGCAGTGCAGACCTCCCCAGAGACTCTTCGAGCTGGTTGAGAGAAAACGACAGGCACACTCCCATCATCTACAACATCAACCATCAGACAATGAGGAGCTTACCGCACCCTTCACTCGGAGGGTTGAAGAGTTGTGCAGCACTGACAAAATGAGTGGTAGGTACAGTTTTCTGAGGAGATGGAATCTGCCTCAGTAGCCCACGATCACAAATCACTATTTAATTCCATAACAAATTAAATTTAAACCTGGTGGCCAACTGCAAGAAACGTCTGACCTCTGTGATTGCCAAAAAGGGTTTTGCCACCAAGTACTAAGCCATGTTTTGCAGAGGGGTCAAATACTTATTTCCCTCATTAAAATGCAAATCAATTTATAACATTTTTGACATGCGTTTTTCTGGATTGTTTTGTTGTTATTCTGTCTCTCACTGTTCAAATAAACCTACCATTAAAATTATAGACTGATCATTTCTTTGTCAGTGGGCAAACGTACAAAATCAGCAGGGGATCAAATACATTTTTTCCCTCACTCTATGTGCATGTATGTGCTGTGTGTATATGGGTGTGCTCTAACCATCTGTGTACTGACCAGGAGTGTAAAAATGTTGGGGTATCTCTTGACCATATCTAAAAATGTTGGGGCTGTCTGGATAGTCATGACACCTACAGTGACTGTGACTATGTTTTGCAGTTACTATATGGAAGGGCCGTTTGTATTGCCAGCTGCTGCAGATCAAGGAT